CATTTTTCCATTGTGTTCATTAACTGTTGTCCCATGGCATCTACTAGGCCACCCCATGGATTTATTGGCTGAGTAGATGGAACAGTGGATGGTCCAATTCCTTGGCCTCGTCCAATATTATGAACATGTGGTACTTGTTCTGAAATGCTGGTCTGTTCGGCCATAGGTTCTGATAAAATGGGTGTTTCCACAGGATGTGTTATCACATTATCCTCTGGATTAGGCATTTCTACCTTTTCTTCCACGTCTTCTTCCACGCCTTCTTCTAAGCGTTCATTTTCTCCTTGTTTCCTACGTCTAGCCATTTGAATTAGTCCCACCGGGCGTGCCAAAAATATATGTTGGCTCTTTGGCTTTCGAAGGTTATTACAGTAATTTTGAGCATGCCAGCAATGATCAATAAGTCCTTACAGAAATTTAATTGCCAACCAATTATCAGACGATTGTGTTTTAATTCTTTCAGCCTCAATGAAGAGGACTTTTACTGGTGGCTTTACTTAACAAGAATAAACTAACAATGATTAAATGAAGAACAATTGCAGTATTTCATTAAGTAAAACGAAAGACTTACAATGATCCAATTCAGCCTCGTAGATGTTTACAGCAACAATCTACTTGAAACTACTCCTATGAACGAAATGCAGTGTAGGAATTTGAAGTACAGAAATGTAAAGAACAAGAAATGTAAAACTGGAAAAGAAATAAAGTAGAATAAAACTGGTTTTATGGATCCGAGTCTGGGGATTTTTCTGGGGCCTTCCATGCTATTTATACTTCTCAAGGATAACCATAGAACTACATTTCTAACCGTCGAAACGCTCCTCCATGATCGCTGATCATGTTGCCTTATAGTCAGCTCCACTACGCCAGTACTTGCAGTTGGGCTTCCCTCCTGATTTTGAATTTAATGTGAGTAACCGTTGAAGCCACATCACTTTGCATCTCTTTACTGATCCAGTACTACGCAGATCTTATGAAAACCAATACTAACTGCCACGTGGACGATCATGATCGAAGGTTTGAATTGTCTTCCCGTATTACCCTCAACCTGCCACGTATTGAATTGTAATTGGCTTATACAAAATATGTAGCCAACAGATATGTTTCAAAATTGTGAAATATGTTTTCTTAATGTTAAGGACATCATTCATTAACCTCTTTACTTATTATTACTCACTCGGCATTAGCTCACCCTTTTAATTTATATATATGTAGGTGAGCCATCGAAGGATCAATATTTGGGTTTGTACCGAAGTCTGCCTCTTTGTCAAGCCACCCAAGATGTGCCTGTACGTCGAGGCTTTCAATTTGTATGTTAGGATTTTGTATTTTATTGAGTCTTATGTGTGTGTGTGTGTGAGATCTATAAGATTTGTATATGAATATAAATTGCTGGTGTGTTTAAATGTTTTAATTAATTTAAGTCTTCATGTATGCCCAAGCTTAATGGACATTATTATTATTTTTGTATCTGCTTCCGCTTAAGGCCCTGTTATTACATAAGAATTTTTGGAATTTTGTCTCTAAGGTCAGAGCACTGGCCGGCCATGGCCCAAATTCTTAGGGACGGGTTTGAGTCGTGACAATTGGTATCAGAGCACGAGTTAAGATCTCACACACATGTCCATTGAGCATTAGAGTGTTTAGAATGCATTTAAGTTGCATGTATTCAGTAACAAAATGATATGTTATGCATTTTGATATGTAAATAAGCCGAGCTCGAACTCAGCAAAACTCGGGTCGATTCGTTTGCAACCCTAAGAGTGCATAATTTATTTAGACATTGGGTCATCTTTTAATAACATTTTAATGAAAATTTTGAAACTATCCAGTTTTGGTTCTAAACCCAAGTCCCTTTTCCCCACACAACTCAAGTCTGCCGATCGTGTTTACGTTGCAGACCCATCTCTCTCTCTCTCTCTCTCTCTCTCTCAACCCATGATTTCTCTCTCTCTCTCCTCTCTCTCTCTCTCTCCAAAAGTATAGTCTAGTCTTTAGTCATGGCGGATGGTTTCGAACCCTACCATGTCCCACAACAAAGCAGAAGAGATAAGCTCAGAGTGGTCGTCCAAACCGACCCCTCCGGGTGCGCAGGTTTACTCCCTCTCTACGATCCATCTCTCTTCCCCTCCGATTTGCTATCCTGCGCCAATCTCCACCACCACCAAAACAACCACAACCCACTTCTGGATGAACCCACCAAGCCAAACCCAACTCATAATTCAACTGTCAAACGAGAGGGTGTGAATTTGATGGGTTATGTAGGTTCATCATCTTCCACTTCACAACAACAACAACAACACATCTATATGGATCCACAATCTTCTTTACACATGAACCCTAGCTCAATTCATGATATTAGCAACAACCCATTTCTCTTCACCCCTCAAAACCTTAGAGTTTATGATCAGTCCTTTAATGGTGATGAAGTTGTGGTGTATAAACCTGAACCATTGTCTTTATCTCTCTCTTCCCATCAAACCCACCAAAGCACTCTTCCTCTAGAACTCAATCCACAAAGATACGAGTCTTCAATTTTCACTGACAAGGTCTCCGGTGGTGTCTATGTTGTTCCGAGCATTGTTGGTGGCGGCGGCGGCGGCGGTTCGGGGGCGAATGACTTGTCGAGGAGCTCGGTCCCTCTCGGGCCGTTTACGGGTTATGGGTCGATTCTGAAGGGGTCGAGGTTCTTGAAGCCTGCACAGCAATTGTTGGAAGAGATTTGTGATGTGGGTTTGGGGATTTACGCTGAAAAGATCACCGAAGACTCGGGTTTGATGGATGCTCCGGTGGAGAATTTGGGTGGAAGTGGGGTTGTTGAGGAGTCGGTTAGCGGCGAGCAGCGGAAGAAGAAGTCGAGGCTGATTTCTATGCTGAATGAGGTATGTTTCTCTAAAGAGATCACGAATTTTATTGTCTGATTAAGTGTAAGGATTATCAGTTTAATTGGTTTAAATAATGTTAGCTTCTAACGATTTAACTGTAGTGTCGGTTCTTCACTCTTAAGTCATAAGAAAAGTCTACTAATACAGAAATCAATTATAGAATGGGACACAAATTCTGTGATCGGGCTTTGTGCATGTACGAAAGCTGAAATCCTATATGTGTAATAATTCTTGTAATTGCGTTTTAGCCCAGCATGTTTGTTTTAACTATTATGCATAGATGTGACTTGCTGAGTTAGGTTTTTAGGAGTCCCCAAGAATATTGCACAGTGGAGCTAGTGTCCAATTAAGTAAAATTTTGAAGTACTGAGTTAGTCATTGTCAATACTGGCATGCCATTTGTGGTGGTGTTGCATGAATAATTGGCAAAAAAAGCATTTAAACTTTGGTAAATTTCAAACCCATGATCTACTGTCTGCTCTATACCACATTAAATAGTTAAATATTGTCTTAATGTAGAACTTAAGCTATTAAGAAAATGGATAACTTTATTATTTATATCCACTTTACTCCATGTACTCAGGATTAATAGTGGAAAAAGCTCGGATTTACACCAAAAAAAAAAAAAACTTCGATCATTTATGGGTGATAGTTTCTTTGTAATTTATAACTTTGCGTATTCCTTATGGACTAGATGCTTGTCTTTTGGGGGTAGATGGGGGTTATAGAAAGATCACAAAGTGTCTTTTTTGGAAAATAAAGGCGATAAGAGGGAATATATGCACAAAATTGCTGCCATAAAGTGCCTGGCAACCTTAGAATAAAACAGGTTTAATTGGTGACATTGGCAATAAACCTGAGGTATAACGTGTGCATAAAGTGATTAAAGGAATCCATTTGAAAAGAGTTATACTGCGTAAAAAGTGTGTATGGAAAGCATAATGCTATTCCAAAGCCTAAAGAAGATGATTTGACAAGGTGTTACCAACTTGGCAAAGTACAATGTTAAGTGAATTTCTTCTTTTGTGGTCTTGTTTCTCTCCTCTTTATTATGTGGAGTTTAGAATCTCAGTTGGTTGATAAGCAAAGCTTGCACATAAGAGAAACTCTTAAGGGGAAAAAAAGAAAAAGAAAAAGAAAAAGAGAAATGAAAATAGTAAATCTGACAAATAGACCAAAGTTTCAACACATGTAATTTGTTGTTTGAAACACTGTACATTCCTTTGGATCAATCATATAATGAACATGATACAATTGAAGAAGTATACATTAATTTAAAAATCAAGCAATGGTCCTTTTCCAAACAACCAAACCAAGCCTTATGTTCCAATTAAGTGGGGTTGATAGCATAATCTTTTTTTTTTTTTTTGCCATTCTCTTTGTCAAGTATATGCTCAGTTAAATTAAACAAATATATCTAAATTTTTTACTGTTGCATTCCATGTTAGTTTAGGTCTTCTCATTTTCATAAATTTTCATTTATGGTGATCATGTATGTCACTCCTCCTTATTGTTGCATCTGTAGGTCCTCTTTATACATGTTCAAACCATCTAAACTTGTTTTCTTTCAATTTATCCTTAATTTGTACTACTAATCTTTCGTGAATTTGTTATTTTGCTCGACATAATGAAGTAATATTTTATTAATAATAATCAAACGTTAAGATCTACTTAACTATTCTTTTTCTTCTTTTTCTGTATTTTGTTTTTTCTTTTTCTTTTTTGCTATTTTAATATTAAAAACTCATGAGGCAGAAGGGTTGGTTGTGTGGATACAAGTTGCAGCAGTAAGAGAGTTTGTACTCTCTAACTCTCTCTCAGTGCGTTTCATTTTTTTGTACCTTTAATTTCATATTTTTATTAAAATTTTTAGTTTGCTGATAAAAAAAATTTAAAAAAAAAGGCAAATTACACTAACGGTCTCTGTAGTTTGGGGCTTGTGTCACTTTGGTCACTGACTTTTCAATTGTGATATATTTGACCTGAATTTTAAATTTCGTTCCAAATAAGGACAATTGAAGACATTGTTACTCTATTTCAAGGGCAAAATCGTCAATTTGATAAAATATAAACTATCACGACAAAAATAAATTTCAAATTTTTAAAAATTATTTATACTCACTAAAGATAAAATTATATAAAAATGATAATTTTTTTACATTTTTATTTTTTGATTTTTTTATACTTCTTACCAAATTATTTTTAGTATGTGTTTGGATGATGATTATGTAATGGGTGGTGATTTTTGGTTATATTTTTGGATGGTTACATGTAATGGATGATTGTATTTATTGTTAACATTTATTTTTGGATGGTTATCATATAATAGATGGTTATTAGGCTTTTGTTGTATAATTCATATGTTTAATATAGGAAATGTTTTTAATTTTAGATTTTGGAGTTAATGGATTGGTTTAATAATGGCATAAAAGTTGTTGTTATGTTTGACTTTTGAAAAAATAAAAACTAATTTAACGAAAATAAGTATAAAAAAATTATCTTAAAATTTTATTTCTACCCTCTGAAAAGATAAAATGATATAAAATTGATGTATTTTTAATTTTTTTTCACCAATTTAATTTTTAGTTTCTTAAAAAAAAAATTTGAAAATAGATTTTGAAAATTAAACCAAACTAAACAGAACTTTATAACAAAAAAAGTTTAAACATTATTCATTAAAAAAAAAGGCCATTATATTTCAAATATCATATATGCTAACCAACACAAAATAAGTTGTATGATGACTTTTCTTTTCAAATGGAGCAACAATGTGTTTAGTTGTCCTTATTTGGAACGAGATTCAAAATTTAGGGTCAAATGTATCATAATTGAAAGGCCATGGATCAAAGTGAGGCAAGTCCCAAATTATAAGGACGGTTGGTGTAATTTGCTCTAGAAGAAAAAACATAACCAAGATGCATAATGTCCCCAAAGAGGAAAAGCGAGTTGGCAAGAAACCAACTTAAACACACAAAGATGAATGAACAAAATGAAACACAAAATAACCCCTTGTTACACTGCACTCATACACAAAGGACATCTCCCAGTAGAGTAACTTGTGAGCCCAACCAAATACCACACCACACAAGTATGAGATATAAGGTGAAAGATGAGATAACAAGTCCAAGTTTTTGCAAGGTGATCATTTTACATTTCTTATTGGTGATAGGTGTTGAATTGTAATACAGCCAACTTGCTTAAAAAGCTTAAGACCCTTCAGTGTGAACACACTTTATTTTGGAAGTGGTCAAATACGTGCAAGTATTATATATTTTTTGGGCAATAGAACACATAATCTATTGAATTGTTAAACCGTCAGTTCATTTAAAATCTTAAGCTCTTAAGGGTAAATTACGTTGACCTTCGCCGAGGTTTGTAAAAATTATAGTCAACCCCACAATTTTGATAAAATTGCATTATGTTCCCTTAAATTTTACCGAACACCCCCAATCCAATAATGAGGGGTAATAAAATTAAAGGTTTCTGCCACAAAATTTTTTAAATGTTCAAATTAGCCTCCCTAATCCACATACATACATATGATCCACATGCATACACAACACACTTCTTGTCCTTAAAATAAAATAACATTGCATTTACTTTATTTTCAGTAAGAATAGCAACAGGCCGGGGAGGGGCCAGGGATCACACTCCCTGTCCTCGATCCCGATAGTGAAAATTCCTTCTTCTCTGGCCTCGATCCCCAATGGGGAACCTATCACTGTCCCTGTCTCCACCCCCTAACAAGGATCAGGTTTCCCTGACCCTAAAAATTTCTCGCCGTGAGATCTTTTTGGCATCTGCAGCGTTCAAAGTGGCAGTAGTCATTGGCGAGTGATACATAGCTTGGATTTAGAGAGAGAAAGATGGAAAAGATTGGAGAGGATGATGATGAAGATTTGTGTACTTGAACATCTCACTCAAAGCTTTTAGTTTCACCATTAAGGGTGGCAAATCTCCAATTTTAACTTTACCATTTTGATTCTTTATTGAAACAAACTACAAATTAAACAATAACACAGTTAATATATAATTGCTTTGCCATAGAAACCATTAGCTAACTTCCTTAAATCAAATCAACAATAGAATTCAAGTATACTCCAATAATACCTTGGATTTGAGGCTGCGAAGTTCAACCTATGTGAATTGGCTTTGAAGCCATTAATCAGAAACAAGAACACCTACAAAACTAGACATATTTTTCTACACATAGATCACAAACTTGGGAAAGAAAACGAATCGCTGGCTTTCTTTCTTTCCCAAAAATTCACTTCATTAAACAAACCTCAATAAATATCTATAAATCCAGATTCAGTAACGAATATGAAGAAGAGAGAGGAGAGGGAGAAGAGAGAAGAGAGTGGATCTGTTTCACCTGGGGTTTCGACCTAGGGTTTCAACTCAGATTAGAGGAGGTGGAGGTGGAGGTGGTGGCAGATCGACGGCGGCTAGGGTTTCTACCTAGGGTTTCAACTCAGGTAGTGGCAGATCGACGGCGGAGAAGATGGAGAGGTAATGGCAGATCGGCGGCGGAGGAGATGGAGAGGTAGTGGCAGAGTAAGAGATCATCGGCGGAGATGGAGTTGTGTGAGAGTGAGAGAGAGAGAGATGAGCGGTGAGGTGGCAGCGGCGGCAGTCTCCTCCTCTTTGATTGAAGGTAGAATGCGAATGAGAATGGGGAGATGAGAGCGACTGAGAGAAGAGAAGAGAAGAGAGTGAATAGTAATGGATCTAAACATATATACATACATATGGGGATGGTTCGAGGATAGATTCGGGATGGGGTGGGGGAACCTATCACCGTCCCCGGCCCGAAAATTGTTAGGGATCTATTTTTCAATACCAGCCCCGGCCCTATGGGGGGTAATTTTTGAAAAAAACCCGGTTTATCGGGGCGGGGTAGTCTGGGTCCCCGTCGGGCCGGGTTTAAATTGTCATTCCTACTTCTTAGGTGTATCGTGTCTTGCATTTTTTGAAAGTTGTCTTATATTTCTTTCGTGTTGCATGTTTGTGCTACTTAGAAAATAAAAAGAAAACAATATACTATATCTACTAATCCTGCCTCCTTGTCTTGATCCAACTCTTATGGGATCCGCACATAGAGAAAGAATAGGGAGAAACCATTGGGATGGGGGGGAAGCAAGGGAGAGATATTGAGTGTAAAATAGTAATTTCACCATTGTTTAACTCCATTTACCTCTTTGTTAATAGTGGGAGATCAATGTAATTATGTGAAAATTGTAGGATTAGTTATATATATTTTTTTTCAAAACTCAAGGGAGGTTAGTGTAACTTACCGTTATTATTTATATTTCAACATGTTCCAATTGATTATGTGGAGTCATAATAGTGGGATGGGTGTAAGTTTCAGTAGTAAAATTTTTTATTTTTATTTTTTTTGATCGGCAAAAATAAATCTATTGATGTAAAAAAAAGTTCAAATACATCCAACTTGGGTTATATCAAAAAAGAATGTGTTGAGGGCATGATGAAACCAACCAATCAGTTCTCCTCCTAATCGAGTTTTGATGTTGTTGATTGTGGGGACATTAGCTTTGTAAATTACTTGTGGTGATCTGTAAGTATTGAATGTTGTGGGGACATTAGCTTTGTAAATTACTTGTGGTAATAGCATTTGTAAGAGGTGCAGTTGTAGGTTGCTTTCAGCTTGTGGTTGCAGTCATTGCACTCTTGTATGTCTATAGCTAAAATAAATTAGAAAAAGAGAATCAAGCAAAGTTCAAAGATTTTTGGAGGATTACAGAATTCTAAGCCTCACAAGATATTCTTATGTTGATATTAATTGGATTGATCACAAATCTATTTAGGGGAAAATGGGCCGAGGAGGTGATATTACTTTGTCCAAAAGAATGCTTTCACATGAACAATTCCAAGGAAAAGGGGGAAGAATTCATCATATAAAATAACAGCATTGGTTCGGAGATCCCCAAGAACCAACCCCTTGGTTCAGAAAGGCTTTAAGTTATTGCTCTAGGCATAGCATAGAAGGAAATTTAATATCCTTACCAAGGGTGTGATCAGCGATCCTCTGTTAGACAGTAAACCTCACAATATCTTGTTCGATCAAAACTCCAAGCCAGAGATCTCTGATTTTGGTCTAACAATAAAATCAGAGATATGATGGTTTAACGATAAATTGATCATATTCAAGACGGGTTCTAACTAATATATGTAACTGTGTATAGTTTTTAGAAACTGTCATGATTTTCGAAGTTGCTGCCTGTTTGATCGAAATGATTTTCATCACATATTTCACCATCTTAGGTCTTCTCTAAATTATTCCTTATTGTTCGTTAAGTTTTTTTTTTGTTGTTGTTCTCAATTGATCCACTGTGATTACTCGTCATTTTACTTTTCCATCAAATACTGATTTATCTGTCTCATTGGTGAAATTGACATTTTCAATAATTTTAACTACACTTTCATCACCATTAGGTTTACAGGAGGTACAAGTATTACTACCAACAGATGCAGGCAGTTGTAGCGTCTTTCGAATCTGTTGCAGGGCTCAGCAATGCAGCTCCATATGCAAATTTGGCTTTAAAAGCCATGTCTAAACACTTCAGAAGCTTGAAGAATGCAATCACTGATCAGTTGCAGTTTACAAACAAAGATCAAAATGACCCAAAAGATGAAACTCCAAGGCTTGGTATCCCTGATGCCCTTTATAGCCAAAGACCGGTTCACAACTTGGGATTTCTTGAAAATCAACCTGTTTGGCGACCCCAAAGAGGACTTCCTGAGCGGGCCGTGAATGTGCTCAGGGCATGGTTGTTTGAACACTTCCTGCACCCGTAAGTGATTTTTTGTTTTCTGGATTGTGCAAAAATTAATTTTCACATTGGAACATATCTTGACTTTCAGATTTAATTCTTTTGAACTTTTCTTCATTTAGAAATGATCACCTACATGTAAGAATTCATTAACTGTAGTCACTGTTCAATGTTTCAGCTATCCTACTGACACGGACAAGATAATGTTGGCAAAACAGACCGGTCTCTCACGAAGCCAGGTGTGCTGTTTTTAAATTCTATTATGGTCCTATTTAGAGGATTTATATCTGGGACAAGTTCATATAGTTTGTCCAATTCAAAACTAACACACGACACAAATGTGCACGCTTAGAGCATCAGCAATGGAGTAGCTAAACACTATGTTAGTGTCAGTTGCTAATTTTTAGCAAGTCATTTTGTGTGTTTGCTCTCACAATGGAGCTGTTAGTAGGTGTGTTAGTGGTGTGTGTTAGTGATGTTTGCTAAAATGTTTGTTATCTGCAGCTAGCCGTTTAGCTAGTGAAGGGGAACGTTGTTTTGTTTTACGGTTTGACCGGCCGGTTGACTAGTCAACGGCAAATTTTTTTATTTTTTTTAACTTGTTGGGATTTTTTTTTGAGCTTGAAATTTAATTTTGGGCTTGAAATTTTTGACTAAACTAAATTATTTATTTATTTTATTTATTATAGACATATATATATTTAACACACACCTTAACACACCCTTTAACACATCCATTGTACCACCATTTATTCACTATTCACTCACTAAATTAACAAACTCTTAACACATGCTTTTGGGTCGCACGTTTAACACTTTTTGTCATATAACACACTTTAACACAATTTTAACAAATCCATTGTGGATATGCCCTTAGCTCTTTTAATTAAGGTGCTCCATGTTTGATGACAAGGTTTGGTCTCTAAAAGAGATGTGTTTTGTTTCATTTTGGTCCCTGACATTTTAATGAGTAGTGATATACAAACAAAAAAATTATACATAATATTCATACAAAATGATGTCAAATTGATATTCATTCATTTCAAACCAAACAATCCATGAAAGTGACTTGTTTATTTCAAATTTGTAATTTAGATTTTTTTTGTTCACATTCTGTTTTCAAATCGATTCCCTATTTTAATGGTGTCAATTGGTAATCAGTCTATCCAGATTGTGTTTAAATGGTCCCCAACATTGTTTCCAAGTAAATTTCTCTACTAATTTTGTCTAAATTTGTAGAGGAAAAAAATACCCCTACTTCTACAATAAAATTTGGATGAAAACGGCGATGGGACCATTTAAATGCAAATTTGGTTAAGCTAGGGAATCGAATCGACACAAATGAATTATTAGAGAATATAATGATACAATACGTAATCTTTGGGACCAGTGTTACTAGATGAAATTTTAGTTTGGTATTTGAAAACACAGATTTATGAAATTGGGGTGACCCATTTTGAAAATGTAACCAGGTTTCCAATTGGTTTATCAATGCGAGGGTGAGACTTTGGAAGCCCATGGTGGAAGAAATACACATGCTCGAAACACGACAAACTCAAAAATCCATGCAAAGAGATGATCAAAATGTCGATAGGCCAAGTGATCCGAGTGATCATCTGCCTCCAGGCACATCACTGGCTTCTGAAAATCCATCCACATCCACCAAGAGGACCAGAAACGACTTTCCTAATAAGTCTATGGGAACCGAAGAGCCAATGAGTTTATCTTACGGAAACTTGTCACGCCATCATGGCGGTGGGGGTGTCTCATTAACGCTAGGACTGCATCAAAATAATGGGATCGGGTTATCAGAGCCCACCTTCCCACTCAATGCGGCTCGGCGTTTTGGTCTCGATCCAAACAGTGAGGGGTATGTAATGGGTGGTAGTTTTGAAGCGCAGAATCGACAGTTTGGAAGAGATGTTATTGGAGGGCAATTTTTGCATGATTTTGTCGGATGATGATGATATAGTGATGAGAGGTTTTTGATTGGATGTGGTTTTTTTTTTTTTTATGCACTGCCTGAATCGAAGACTCCAAGCTCGGCAAATCTTTTTAAGGATTGGTGCATTCTGATGGTGTAATATGTTGTTATCCCATGCAAATAGAGATCAGTAAATACAAATTTCATACATTGGGTTTGGGTGTATTATTATTCTTATCATCCCCCTCTTAGATGTGTATAGAAGTGTATTGATATTGTTGTTTTGCAAGGGAAAATGCCGGAAGAGTGTTTTGGTAAATGTGAACATGGTGGCGGACATCAATAATGTGATCGGATTAGATTTATCTTGAAAATATGGATGACATATGGATGGCAAATGTAATTTCAAAAATAAAGTGTTCAAATTTTTTTAAATTAAAATGATTTAATTATGTGATTATCAATATTAATTTATTTTAATATACAAATACTCTTTTCAACTGATTTTGCAAGATAATAGGTTTGGATGGTTAAGGTAGATTCGAAGTGGAGTTCACCAAGGGCACAAAACCCTGCAAGTACGCCCTCTTTCGTATTTTTTTATTTATTTTTGGGCAAATTACAAACACTTCTATCGAGATTTGATGAAAATATAGATTTTTTCCTGAGGTTTGAGAAATTACATCCCGTTTCCTGAGCTTTATATTTTCATAACAAATTGTCCCCTGAAATTTTTATTTTCATACAGATTTTCTCTTAATTTGTTATACAAATTTAACCTTTAGTAGATAATTTGTAATTTCTCAAACCTCAAGAGAGAATCTGTATTTTCATCAAATTTCGAGGGAGGTGTTTGTAATTTGCCCTTTTTTTTTTTTTTTTTTTCTGTGGGGTGCAATTATTTGTCTGATGTTTCTCTAAGTCATTCCCCAAGCAAAAGAAATTAAAAAAATTAAAAAAAGTTTGACCTTGGATGATAGGGTATGACCTTACTTAAATGTGTTACATAATATTTAGTTGGTAATTTATTTGAGGTCTTTAATATTTTTAAAAGGAGACCACCTAAGTTGGATAAAGAAGGATTTCTAAGGAATAAAATCTAATCCAACTAGGAAAGGATTAATAATTTAAGAATATTTGTTACGTAAATGGATTCCTAAATCGGAAAGAAGATTTACGAAGGTGACAGTGCACCTACCATATATATAAGGGCTACACCATCAAGGTATGAGTTTATAGCTTTCAGTATTAGAGTAATTAAGCATTTTTGAAAGAGTTTTTGACTCAAGAATCAGAATATCCTTCTAAGTGACGACATCACAGACAGAGGGAGCAGTTACTAACCTCAGTCTTGCTGGTGTGGACCTAGAATTATTCATCTTCAACTTTCAGTATCATCGCCCAACCTTCATAAAGTCAATTTCCTATTACCAATATCGTGGTACGATTTTTTTCCTACGCACTAAAAAATATAAATTATAAATATTCATCATTTTTTATAAAAATTCGCTTAACTAAACAATAAACATAGTAAGCGTAGTCATCTATAGTGGATTATGAAAATTAAAATAGACACAGTCACAACACAACTTAGATGCCATTTACAAAACATAACAAGAGTAGTTCCATAAGAAAACAGCTATGATGAGTGCATGTGCCTCTCTTTTGATGATAAATCAACTGTGCCCAAATTTATAACTCAAATATATATCTACAGTAACAAATGATTTCAGATTAGATAGACGTTAATTAGAAAAGATTAATGCTGTGTTTGATTGGGGAATTTGGAGAGGGATTTGGAAAGAGAAATAGAAAAGGCAGGTGAAATGTGAATAAGTCATGCCTATATTTCACATAATTTCACACATCTTTTCCCTTTTCCTTTTTCCTTTCGAAATCTCTCTCCAAATCCTCAAACCAAACACAGCATAAAAAAATGTCCTATCAGTCGTGAATAAAATGAGGATAAAAGCCCTCATTTCCACCAATGAACCTAGTTAATCATGGTCGACGAACACAACACATGCAAGCAAAGATAGATTTGTGCCACGTTGTGTCATATCATAGTTGATGACACGTAAGAATCCTTTGAGGATATGCGAGAGAATCCGTATGCCTGAATTTGACTTCTATTCCCAGCAGTGGTATTTGATAGTGGTATTTGATATTGTCCAGCAAGTTTCTTTCTTGATGCTTTTTTTGTGATTTTGTGCAAGAAGTTGATAGAGACAAGAGAGGACATGTTTGTCAATCACAAACTGAAACAAATTAAAAGAATTAATTTCTCATATGGGGGAAAAGTATATAAAGTTTGTCAATGTCAAACAAATGAGAGAGAGAATTTCAGGCTGTGCTTGCAGAAGTTTTCAAAGAGAGAAAAAATTTCAAGCTGTGTTTGGAGAAACTTTTCAAACATATTTCTATTTATTGATTTGAGTGTGTTATTTATTTTGAGTTTTTAAATTATAATTTCACACACACTTTTGAAAACTCTTGCTAGGTAGGAAAATTTGGCTAATTTGATCGTCCTTCAAGACGTCCGACCGGTTGACTGGAATAATATTCGATTTATATATATATATATATTTTAAATAAAAAATATTTTCAGAATTTTTTAAATTTTTTTTATGAGTTTTGAATATGATTTTGGGTTGTGTGTTTGGTTATGAATTGTAAGTTTTTGAATTAAATATCATATGCCACATCATTCATTTCAAACTCAATTCAAAATTCTTTTCAAAACTCATAACCAAACAAATTTTCAACACTCAAATTATAATTTCAAAACTTACAAACTCAAAATATAACTTTATTCTCAAATCATATTTAGAAAACTCTACCAAACAATACTTTAATCTTTCTTAGCACTCTCATTCCTCTAAAATGCAATTTTACGTGCTAAATTTATTTTTAAAAATGATCTCTGCGTTCAACTTTTCTAGTACAAGGAGCAAAGAAAAAAATTTACATATATTTTCACTTTGATAAAGAATCATTAACTAGAAGTTCAGATGAAAAAACAGGGCTGGGTTATTGTTTGGTTTAATTTTTTTCAATTTATTTAAGTGATTTTTTCTCTTAAATTGTAAGTGAAGTTATACAAAATATTTTGACACGTATTCTTGTGGACTTCCTTTTTTCTCGCGCCCCGCCTTTCGAAAAGGTTTGAAAAGAAGGCCTCACAGTTCGGACTCCCGCAGTTCTGAATCTAGTCTCACAAGTGCAATGTGAAACTAATGAACACCAAATAGTTCAAATCCGGCAAACCTTTTGGAAAATCGATTTTAAATCAAATAATGCCAAAATTAGACTGCTTTACTAGATACAGAGTCGCCACCTAAATATTTTGTTTTGAAAAAATTTAGGAAACCCTGATTCGTGCTAAAGGCCACGTGTCTGTCATCACAAAAATTACCTCAGCTCGCGAACTTAGGTACGAAAGGGAGAAGGTCATGAATTGAGCACCCCCGCTTGCCCGATCAAAGATCGGCCTCTACTAATCATGATATGAGTTTTTATAAACATTATGCGTTCTTATTCCTGTTATTTACACTAACCTTACTATGTGATGCGCACAAGCAAGTATAGACTAGTTTGCTCAATTTGGAACAATTCAACTTATGTTTGTTTTCGAAAATAGTTTGAATTTGCCACCTCAAGTGGGCTTAAAAGTTGCGGATATGCCACCAAACATAGTGGGCTCAAAACGGGTTTGCCACAACAAAGTGGACTTAAAACGCGCATTTGTTGAATCGTTCCAATTCAAACAATAAGCCTTCATCCACAGACATTCATGCAGTTTAGCATTTAAGCACATAGCCTCATGGTGAGCTTGCTAAATATGGCAACATTCACACTCATGCAAGTATGCTAGAGCGTAAAAACTCACCGAGTACTCCAAGCCAAAATAGAAACTAGTTAGAAAGATACATAATCCTAACTATACAAGATGTCTAATGTAACACATACAACATGCAATTAATAGGCTCAGCTATTAATATGACATATGGATTGATTTGAACAACATGAGATTAAACACGTATTCAAAGAAGATATTGAAATAGCAATGCAGTTTGAATGATGCGCCAAGCCTCGGTGCATGCAATACAAACAAATAGATGCAAGCATGCGATATGCTAATTGAAATATGATCCTTAATCTAACTATCAAAAGCGATTAAATAAAAGGGAGAAAGACGTGGGATTGGAAAACATACACACACGCATGCACACTTATTACAACATTACGAACTAGCAAAGGAGGGTCCGAATGAATAAGCTAAGCTACACTAAGCTAAGTTAACAATTACAACACAATATTTAACTAACTACTCTAAGTTAATTAAATATTACAATACTTAACTAACTAATTACAAAGCAATTAAGTTAATTAATTACAACATAAGTTAATCAACTAATCTACTTAAATATTTGCAACATTTGCAAGCATCAACTACAACTAATTAACTAGGCAAGTTAACTAAACGACCTCGGGAAACAAGGGATGCATGCATGCTCGGTTTCTCCATCCGAAAAGCCACCGTTTTGCTGCTGCGAGCCTCTGTTTGCACACTTGAACACCAAAAAAGCTGTCCACTTCCAGAATGCCTCTGCTCCATCTCAGGAACACACTGTGCAAATTCCATTGGTGGCCGACAGGGGGCTTGTTGGCTACCAATGGTAGCCGGTCGGTCACTGGTGACATGAACTCCTTTTTTTGCTGCAACAGAGAGCAGACAGAGCAAAATAGTGAATTCTCACAGATTATTTGCATACTTTGCCTCTCATTTTCATGGGAAAATCAAAGGAGGGACAAAATTTGGGTTTGCAAACCATCGATCAAGCAATTTCATTGCATGATGACTTGTGAAAGTAATTGTGCAAGTTCAATAAATGCAAAATGAGACCAAAGGACCATCACCCTATCATGCATGATAAAGGGCAATGGTGACCAAGGAAAATGGTACACTTCATCACTTGTGAGTATGAAATGTCTCATTTCCCTTGTGTTCAAACTAATGTCCGATTTGAACACATGCAATGCAACACAAAAGATACTTATCTTGCCTCTTTTACTTGTCCAATTTTGTTTACTCATTTTAATTACCAAAACCATTCTTTAACTGATTTGTCCATTAATGAGTGTCCTATAATAGAAAGATGGCTCAAACCACAAGGTGCTTTGGGCATGAAAGAGGCATTACACTATTGGTAATGAATCCCCTAAGGGATTAAACCATTAGGTGTAACACCTCAATTTCACACTTAGGCAAACAAGTGGTTTGGAACTACTTTCAAAGCAAACAAAAGAGTGAAGAAT